TACACAGTCAGTATAATCAATATGATATTTAACTGCACAGAGACTAATTACCACTTTAACAAGCAGCATCACAGTAGTGGTCCAGTCAGCACAAACACATTGAGTGCACCAAAACATTGTTCCACCCAAAGTAACTTTATTAATTAATGAATTATTAATTTAAAATCTAATGGAGATGCCAATATATTAAAATATGTATATTGGTATAGGCAGATTTTGGGGGAAATGTATATGCAATGATGCACATGGATATTTCCATTTGATAGAATGATGCAGCCACTGAAAACAGTTTAAACATTTCACCCAGTTCAGGGAACTCTGATGAAATGCTGTGACACACTCATGTTGTATTCAACATGTGATGATGTCAGGCAGTGTGAAATAAGATCACTGCTACTTGGAAGCTGAAAGCTACTTGAAGGGGATGCAAAGGCGAGAAAATGTATGTAAGGAGGTTCTGCAGAAAGCATGTCAGTAAGAATGTCAATTATAAATCAAGTGCGTGTGTTAAATGCTCTTATCTTGTTTTTTTGTATTATTCTTTACACTTGTTAAAGCACTTTGTAACTTGTTTTTGAAAAGTATTCTAGAAAGGCACAAAGGAAAATAGAAAATGATGAATCATATTCATAGTTTAATTCATGTAGAACATTCATATGTAATAAAAACAGGTCCATGCAATTCTAAAGAAATCTAAAATCAAATAGAAATAGAACACAACTTTGAAAACATCAGAGGACATGGCAACCTATTATATACAGTAACTCTACAACTGTAATTGGCTCCATCTACTTCCTTTCGCTGATCTCTAATTAGCTCACATACCTGTCAGAGAGGTGTTAACAAGGTTGCCTTTTGCAATACACCATACCACTCATTCCAATTTTTTTCAGCTCAGTAAGACAGTCGCATGTCTCTTCAGCTTTAATGTAAATGAATGAGGGATTGTATAACATTAATGATTGCAGCTTGATAATTAGGTTGATGTCATTTGTGTTTCAGATACTGTTGCGTTGGTCTTGGTCTCTGGTCTTCATAGTTGTAGATATAAAACAATAGAACATTTGACTTTGACTGTAGAAACCTCACGCAGGGAACTGACTAGTGGTCAGACTCCGGTCAGTTTGAGACTAGTTGTTCTGGACATCTCTCAGTGGTAAATGTCAGAACAGGTTGTTTGTGAAGAAGCTGCACATACTCAGCCACACTGATGGGATAAATGAAGCTTAATAAAGATACGTGTTGCACATGAATGTAGATCAGTGACTGAATTCATAATGGCTCGTTGTTTTCTACTTTGCAGCACACAAGACTCCACAACTGTCTAACCTTCTGCTAAATAAAAGCAAATGGAAATATCAGTGGGTTTTTCTTTTATCAGGCAGTTTAAAGAGACTCATGAGATTCATGGGCAGCCACTCAAGCTGCAAATGGTGGATAAGGCTAATAGCCACTGTCTCTGCTGATGCTTCATTACTGTTTATCTCAAGTAGAACTTTGAGTCAGAAGTTTTTCTTTAATCGTGTCTCTTTTATTATGTTAATAGACTTAGAATTTGCAAAAGCAAGTACATTTTAAACGCTTTAATGCTTACCCAATTACATTTACCAACTCTATAAGAAATGTATTTGCTAAGATGCAAAATGTTCATACAAAACTGTCATGATCGCTGGGTAGTCGCAATTGCAGGCAGAGTGATAACTGAGGGAACAGACATAACCTAGGTTACTGGACACTAAACACAGACATAAAATAAGACACAGAACTAAACCTAAGATACATGAAAGACAGGTACAAGGTGAGCTAAACAGAACCTGCGAATGAACAATGAAATAAACATGGCTAAACAGAGAACACAAGACAAGGAACAAAGCTCCAACAGAAAACATGGACCAACTGTTACACAGACCAGGGTAGGGGACAGAAGCAGAACTAACCAGAAAGCAGGAAAACACTCAACAAGGAACAGAACGGAAATAAGGAAAATACCAGAACACAACTAAACACTAGCTGATAATAACTAGTTGAATAATAACCCAGACTAAATAACAGATATCAAACTGATCAATAAGTAAACTTCACAGTGAACTAAATTCAAACGAACGGAACTACATGCAAAACCCAAATCTTAAATTCAAGAACACAGAGTGAATAAGGGAGACAAGATAACAGGACAACACAGACAACAGAATAGGATAACAGAACAAAAACAGATTAACACAGAACCAGGCGGACAACAAAACAGCAGAGCTCACCATAAACACAGACTGGGCACAGGACAACAGACAAGACAGGACCCCATAACACAACAGACCAAAAATAACAGATAATCAACTGACCAAAACTCAGAGTGCTAAACTAAAACATGACAGACAGGCAGAATGTGACAAAAACATATTAGCAAAGCTTTAAAGGAGCCCTATTATCAAAGCCATCTAAACTAGGGTAGCAGGAGAGACATAAATGGGTTTTGATTTTGTTACTTCCAGTGGTGGACAGTAACTTTAAGTAGGCCTACTAAGTACATATTAGAGGTTTGAAGGTTAGTATTTTCTTTTCATGCCACATTCTATGTTTATGTTCACTGTTTATGTTTTTGTGTAAGAAACTTTTTAATATTGGCATTAAATAATTTCTAAATATTTCACAGAGCACTGGTGTCCTGCAGTTTGTGCTAAATTGTATTGGGGCGGTGACCAAAACTGACTGGATATGGCACAGCTATAACTAAAATATTTATGTACTAGGTTAATGTTACAGGAAGCTGATAAACACTGTAATTGTAATTAACTTGTAAAAATTAAAGTTACATGATTAAGATATAAGTTAACATTATTTAACATGTTCATTATAAAGGAAAGTAAATCAAGCAAGACAAAGGGAAGCAAGTGAGAAAGATGGCAGGAAAGGAAAAACAATACAGAAAGGAAATGCAAGAGAAGGCAGTTGAAGAAGTGAAAGCAAGAGCTAGTTTGAGCGCAACTTCAAAAAAGTATACCACTCTGCCCCACTCTGCTCTATACCACTCTGCCCCCCGAAGCCCCTTACCCTAACCATCACAGGGGTGTAGGCCTAAATCGTAATTGTATGCATGTTGACAGGTTAACCCTACAGCTGCGCACATTGGCCAAGGCTGTTGCAGTTAACATTCTGTGTTGCAATGGGGAACAGAAAACGCTCATATCGTTTTGGGAGTCATCAACTATCAACCTATTCTGTCATTTCCAGATGAGAACCTGTTGGGCATGAATGTTGAGCAGACCAAAAGTTGTATGAATGTGAAAGCAAGGCTATTTTACTAACCAGAATTCTTTATTTTATTTTTATCGCCAGTGTTGTTAATGATGATAAAAGTGAAATCCACTGTTACTGAAGTTGGGGAGCTTGAACTTTTTCCGACTTCCATAGAGGGGCGTGAAAGAAAAAGATTAGAGTTAGATAGATGCATATGCCCAAGGTTATGTAAAGATACCTTATCAATATTTAGAAATGGTAAATCAAAGGCAACTGAATTTTATGTTTTATTCTTAAAGATGTTTGCTCATTGGGATTTGGAGGCCTATAAACCCAAGTGAGAATGAGACTGAAAGAGCATGCTAATAAAACACCAACAGGCAGTTTGCGCAGAGGAAGCTAAATGCTAAAGCAGGGAAATCCTCTCCACCTCACAGTATGCTACTCGTTTAGTGAAAATATCAAGGAATGTTTAGTCAGTGTTACTCTAAATCATCAACTACTGTGTGTTCATAGCCTCTTAAGTAAATAAAGTGATTTTATTCTCAATGATTGTGCTCTGCTGAGTCTCCAAATTGCTGGATGGCTGCACTGCTCAGAATGCAAAACAGTTACATGGGAGAGAGACATCTGATGCAGAGGGCATCAGGCTCATGAACCTTCCTCTTCCTCTTGACAGGAGCTGACTTGGTTATCTCCTACACCTCTGCTGTGTGCATACAACTGGCATACTGATCATCTTCCCCAGTGTCTATGTGTTCTGTTTGTATTCATGCACTACTGGCTGGTAAATTGTTAATTACCCACTAGGTATAAACCAACCATTTGTAATATTGAATGTTTAATAAACAACTACGGCACTAAAGTTTTGATTAACACAAGAGATCAATTAGTACATGCTCCAGTAATTTGCAAAATAAAAAAAAACATCTGCCACAGAATTAAAGACATCTTGAAACAAAGGATTTCCTTCTAATTAAGCACATCCCTAAATGTCTTCAAATAAATATCATAAACATGTCTGGACAATCAACGACATGTATCTTGTGATACATGACTGCAGATTCAAGCACTGAACTTTGTGTCAAAATGTTTGGAGAAAGTCTCTAAATATCTAAAAGAGCTCTAATTTTATTTTTTTTTACATTGATGACATAGAACTGCAAAACCCAACCTTCGCACAGTATAGGAGAGGCCTTGCACTACAGTATTTGGATAAGCTACTTTTTATATACAGTATATAAAATCCCCCTCTCACCCCCCGTGAGGTGGTATGTGTCATCCTCAAGCTCAGGTCCCATACCAGAGGCCTGGGAGTTTGAGAGTTTGAATTTCTAACCATTTTGTTAAAGCAAAGAATGGTGTTGCCTTTTTGGGTTGTTTTATTAGAGTGGTTTTAGAGGTCTTAAGAGATAAAACGATGCAGTATTTCACAATAAAAAAAATTACAAAAATTAAGCAGTTTCATCAGCAGATTATATATATATTTTTTTTATTTTGTGTGTTCTTAATCATCTCAACACCCCCTTTACAATGTATCTTACAATCTATAACCTCATACTGAGAACTACTGCTCTAAGGTAGGGTAGCCTAAGAATGAAAAAGTTTGGCTATAAGTAAACAGTTGTTTCCAAGACAACAAATAATATCAGTGAGAGAGGCAATCAGCAGCTCAATGAACAACTAATCAAGCTTTGGAAAACATCAAAGACCATTTTGTTTTTTCAGTGGAGAATTCACCACCTGTGTCCATGATGTATAATGAGTTGGAAGAAGTGAACCAAACTTTATTGATGTTGCAACACAAATACATTACCACACTCAGTGTTTCGTTAGGTGACTCAGCCACCTTCCGTAAAGTATACATAACAACAGTGCTTCAATGAAAATACAAAAGCTAGCAGCCTGTTGAATTTCAGGGTACAAACAACATATTTTTAATAGAAAAATGGTAATTAATGTCTAAATTATCAAAAACATACCCCTGATATCTGCTACATTTTTACAGCTTTGGTGGTGAGAAGCAGAAATGTGCAGATCCAATATGGTAGATTGGAAGGGGTGCGCGTTTGTTTTAGGCAGACCCAGAACTGAAAAGAGCGGGAAGCTGATGTGTGTGGATAATGGCTGTAGATTGAGCAGAGGCGGCATTAGGGAAGATGGTTGGGCTGGAATCCTGAGGCACCAGAGAAAAAAGAAGTTAGCCATAGAAAGGCATAGAAGAACCACAAAAGCTCACTAGAGAAATCTTCAAAGTAATTTCGGCCGAGAGTCCCACTACCATTGTGTTAGACTGAACATCTGACAACTAATGGCTGAAGAGCTGGGGTACTTGAACTAGACAGGTGTGTAGATGAGCCAGGTGCTTGAAGAGGTAAGCCACACACACACACACAGAGGGAGGGGAAACAGAAAACACAGGGTTCATCCAAAGTCATCCATTTTCTTCACTTGTGATGCTGGTGGCAGCTGATCGCAGCTGGATGAGACTTTTGATGGAGTTTGTGTCTGCACATGTGCGCTGTGCCGACACTAATGAAGACACTCAGTTATCACTGCTAGAACAACAAGTTTTCTCTCTGGAGCTGTTACCGGCACATGAAGAACAACCTGCATTCTGTATTTATTTGTGTCCTGCTCAGAGAATCATACTCAGAATGCATTTCTATGCAAATTTATTAATTTACTGATTAATTGAATGAAATTATTTATTTGGCTAAAGAGACTCTCTGACTGTCTCTGACTTTAATTGTATCTAAAATAAAAGTTAATGGGTGAAATAACAAAAGAAAAATCTTTAAACACAGATTTTAACTAGATGGTGAATCAGAAAACAAATTTGGAAGTGATTCACTTGAGTTTAATCTGTTATATGTCTTCACTCTGGTATGAACCTCCAGTGATGTTTACACAATATAAATGATTTTCATGAAGTTTAGAGGTAAAAGAAAATCACATAAAGACCCTCTATAATACAGGGCTTCACATGGTGTGTCCCTTGTTGTCATTTGATCACGGCAAACTCAGTCCAGATTATGAGGTATCTCTTTTCAATACATGACAGACATAAATAATAAAATGGTGAACTCCTTTAAACTCTGAGCACACAGTCTGAGCGAACAGATAATATCGGAGACTCTGTATTATGGAGGAAAGCTGAAGCATTATGAAGCCTCAGGATCTGACTACATAATGAATGAAGGCAAGAATTCAGGTGGGAGAATTTCCACATTTACTATTTATCTATTCCCTCCTGTGTTGGGCAAAGTGTATGATGTTTTCCACTGCAAAGTAACAACCTGGCCCACTGAATATAATTAGCATGCAAGAAGACATGAAGAGGATCAAATCCCCATTTTTACGTAGTGGGAGATCTTACTAGCAATGCTAAGAAGCTAAAAGGGACTGACACGCTATTATGCCATATAGCACGACTGGATCGTGGAGCCAGCAATCATATTTTTCATAAAATGTGACATTGCACAGACATGGATGGTGTTTGTTGCTCCAAAATGTCATTCGTTGCACCACCTTGGTCCAAACTGAAAATTCTAAACAACTACTCGATGTATTGCCATGACATTTTGCTCACAACATGACAAACCCTTCAGCCAAATACTTTTATTCTGACACCATCCTCTGGCAAATTATTTCATTTACCTCCCCACGACTGCTAACCTCAACTGTTTAGTTTTAATTACAATGACCATTTCAGCCTTACATAACCATTAACGTGGTTAAAGATTCTTTGTCTTGTCTTCACCATCTATAGGTCTGTCCTAATATTGACATAGAGGGTTGTTATTGTGTGTCTGTTTCATTCACTCTTGTCAACTCAGTGAGCGAGCTTGCTACCTAGCTAGCTAACGAATGTATGGACTATGGAAATAAAGTTTGTCATGAGGAGTAAACCTCAGCCACCCTCTACAGAAGGTGGAGCAGCAGCAACAGCAGCAGCTGGTGAACGGCAGGCAGGTGTTGTTTCATGTGTGTGAATCCGCAGAAGAATATTGCATGACTTCCGAAGCTTCTAACGTCACTGGTGATTCAGAAGGCACTTAATTCAGTTTAACAGTATTAAAGGTTCAGACAGCTAAATGCTGTGATTGAGCATAATAGAGTTTGATGGCAATTAGTATTATACAGTCATAAAGTATGAGAACATTTCTTCCAAAACGAAGTTACAATGTTCTAAAAGTAATAGACTACTTTAATGAATGTAATCGAAAGGGTATATTAATAATGGTGTCTGAAAAAAAAAAATTTGCACAATGACATCTATATTTAATGCAGCCCTTCTGAACAGAAGTATACAGGTGTAATTATAATACGCAGGCTTCTTGGACTTTTATAGCACATATGAAATTAAAATGATTAATATCAGCAATATTAATTACAAACCACCAGCTGTCCATGTGTTTGCTGAGTAAATGTTCATCATCTAATATTCAGTTCAGAGTTTTGAGGAACACATTTATTTGGCACTGTTGGTCATCCTTGAGTTAGAGCAGTTAAAATAATTATTGGATGGATTCAAATGTAGCAGATTTGTCAACAAAATATTCACTCTGTAAACTCTACTCCAGCACAGTAAAACAAAAATAGGTTTCATGCTGTTTAAGCCAACGTCCTACCTATGTTATGTAACTATGATTTTTGCCTCATTTTAGGTGGCAGGAAAATTGAAAATTAGTCAGTAGGCTTTACCCCCCCCCCATTCCTCGAAATTTTGTCTTGCTTCACCCCTGTTTCAACACCAGTTCCCTTAATCAAGGTTTTGCAGCTGGTAAGTCAGAAAACAATACGGATACAATGAGCAAGGTTTGAGTTTAGCTAGCTGGCTATTTAGCACTGAACTGACCAATCACAGCCTGGATGTGGCAGGACAAATAAAAAAAGGTTGATGTGCTACAGAAAAGGGGGGATTTAAAAGTGGGACTAATCTGGAGGGTTAAATATGACTGGATATGACTATATTTTGTTCACATATTCTGTTGGGTGTGATACAATAAAGCTTAAAAAAGGATTTGGACACAATTTTCTGCATTTCTGCATGCTTTTATCATATTTTAACAGCTTCAACTTCCTAGTAAATTCTCGCTCAGTAGCTTTGATGCCTCACCAGACCAATGGATCCTCTGTGCAGACCATTTCCCTAAAAGCTCTCCACACATCCTTCCCTGGAAAGGCCAGCATTGATGGAAACTCCTAATCAAGGCTACCTCGGGACCGTGAGGAGCTTATACTTGAAAACATCGCTCCTGTCATCAGATAAGAAAGAGACACGATATACTATCAAGATATTATGAATTCTTTGACATATAAAAAGAGTTTATCAAAAGGTTATTTAGAAGAAGTACACAGAATTCTTTGTGATATGAAAGACTGTGTTGTTTGTATGTTTCTCTCCTTCAGCAGCCTACATTACAATTCATAAAAGGCTCTGCTTCAAAATGATATTTCTATCATTTAAAATGATATGAAATCTGAAAGTATTGGATCTGCTAGTACAGTCCATTCTGAAAAATAGCTCTTTATCTGTTTGTCATCTCAGGCTCCTTCATCATTATTGATCTTCACATGCTGAACAGAGCTGTACTGTCCAGCCTAATCAAGTCCTTCCCATCTCTTCAACTCTTTTAATCCCTTCTTAAAACATACTTTTATAGGAAAGCCTTTCCCGATCTTATTTGACTTTATTTTATTTTTATTTTATTCTATTTTACTTATTTTATATTTATCTTAAACATGTATTTTGGTCTTTTCAATGTTTTCTTGCTTGTATTGTTGTCTTCGCACTTGTTGAAGCACTTTGTACTTGTTTTTGAAAAGTGCTCTACAAATAAAGATTATCATTATTATTATTATTATTATTTTCTTACTTATACATGTCTTGTGTTTTCCCCTCCCTGCTGTCTTGGTCTTCTTTTTTTGTCTGTCAGTCTTGTGGGCGTGTCATCCTGGCTCCCTCTCTCCAGCTCGCCGCCTGCAGCTCCACTCACCTGAGGCTCATCAGCAATCAACCCACTCTGTTAAAACCCTGCTCTACAGTCACTCCCTGCTGGTAACATGTGTTCTGGTTCTCTATGTTTTGTTACTGCCCTAGTGATTCTTGCTTACCTTTTTTTTTTTACTTACCTAACGCCTGTTTCCCTTTGCCTGTCTACAGTGAGAGACCTCAGCCAAGTTTGGAGACACTGCCTGCCAGCCTGGAGAGAGCCCTGTCTTCACGGCACAATCCCAAATAAACCAGAGACTCTTGCTCACCCCCAAATATTGTACTTTGTACTGGTTGTGTAAAAGTAAGACATAAGAATAAATATTTCTTTGCTTTTGTTACTTGGTTTTGGCACAGTTGATGATATCCTCATGTACAAACTGAAGGGTTGGCACAGCCGTTATCTAGTTCAAGATTTATCTAATGGTCAGATCATCCTCAGTTACCCTGCATGACTCATCATTGGGAAGTGTCTGTAGCACAACGGAAATCATTACATATGCCTACTAGGTGATGTCACCAGGAAATCCTTAATTAGCTATGCATATGATATAAACTTTGTGGTAATCAATACCTGTAGAAGACTAAAAGTCACATTAAATCATGACAGGATGCTCACTGAGATGCAACTGTAGTGATGCTCACCGCGGGATTATCAAACCAACAGAATCAGGATGTAAAATTAAATAGTAACTCTTAATGTGTATCACCAATGAGAGTGCTAAAATAATCCATACTTGACTGCAACCCCTAAAATCTTCTTTGTGAGAAAGGTGAGGCCTCCCATTGTCCACTGATTATTAGTCACAGTGGCTGCTTCTTTCATAACTACAAGAAAGACATCCAGATTCTTTTTGCACTTCACTGACTGTGTTCTTTTCAGAACTGATTTTAGCCTCTCTGTGTCCTGACGCAGCCCTGCTGACTGATTTCCCTCAGAGCTACATTATCTAGGCTAGTCAATAGCGACTTCCAAAGACATAGACTGTATCCATTTCTTTATTTCTGTTCCATCTATTTTTTAATTATTAAACAGTCTTACCACTTGAAAGACCTGGGAGCAGAGGGTATTGTGACGTTAATAATTCTCATAAATCGTGTGACCTAACTTCTAATAATGAACCTTGTAAACAGCATAAGGCAACATAGGAATTGGGACTAAAACAGAACTAAAACAGTTTTCTTCTTCTCGGCTCACAGAAAAAGTTATGTAATATGCAATAAAATATATCAAAATAGAACCGGTGGTACCCCTTTTGCTACATCAAAACAATTTCAGCGATTTTTATCAGATTTTACTGCTAATTCTAGTCGTTTTTATGTCCAGGTGACGAGTAAACGTGCAGTTCTGGCTCTCTTCCTATTCATACAGATAGGAGCCTGGTTTTGTTAGTCCGAAATAGCTGCGTTGTCAAAATGGCTGATGAGTGGCATGAGTTGCCACTTGATTTGCTGCTCTCATCTATTACCAGAAGACAATCCTATCAATCTCAGCCGTACTTTGTCTTTACTGTTAATTAGCAAATGTTAGCATGCTAAAGGTAAGATGGCGACCACGGTTAACCTAGTGTAGCTTGAAATGATTCAAGTTCTAAAAATCCTGGCCCATGTAGTCCCCAGTTCATCCTCTGTGTTTTTAGCTTTTGTCCCTAAGCTTAAGTCCACTAACTTATGATTGGCCAGCTACCAAGAATCCTGCATAGGGGCTCGTGAACCACTGTAACCAGTTCTCTCTATAAACCCAGTGCTGTGAGCCCATACTGCCTCATCTTACCTGTGTGCTCAACGGCATATGACAGCTTAATGAAGCACTGAACATGAATTTCCTGTTTGTCAGACCACAAATGAGACAAGAAGTAGGTTGGTAAAACTGTAAAGTGTTTCTGGAGACTAGTGTAGGTACAGATATTCTTGGCCTGGCAATCTGCTTGGGGCCTCACTGACTACACAAAAACACAACATTTTTCACGAATTTTTGTGAAGTTTTTACATGGACAGATACATTTAAAGTAACCATTAACTGCTGCTAACTCTAGCTCCATTACGGTTAGCTAGGCTCTGCCCAGACTGGGAGCTCGAGCACCGGGGGAGTGTTAGTGTTAATGTTTTTGTTTTCAGGCCCTGGCTCAGAGCTCCCAGTCTGGGCAAAGCCCACTACATAATGGGACCTCAGAGAGACGGGTCGAATATTGTGAGCAGACAGTATAAGGAAAGTAGAGGGAAAATGCCAGAAACCTAGTATCCTGAGCAGCCTGAAGCTTGAGCTTTTTGCTTCCTGCTTTCTTACAGTGCAGACGCTTTGCTGCTTGCTCTTGGCTCTGCTTGCGTTCTTTTGCTTAAACTCTGTTATTTTCTACTACAAATCAGCAGCTCTTGGATACTTAAATCACTGGGACTGTCAGATAAAGTTGGCTCTTGCCATACTTTAAAAACTTTTATGATCTTAGTGCTACGCGAGTGTGGCCTATCAATAGCACTAGCCTGTACTGCAGTGACTGGAGTTATAGCTAATGCTAATTAGCAACAAGATGCCCCCTTTCTCCACGGACGACTTCTACAAACTTCTACAGAAAATTGCAGTGCTGGAAACCAAGATCCACAGATTAGAAGTGAATGTGGAAGTGAATGGACTATGTGGGAATGACACCACTTTATTGTGGACCCAAAACAGTGGACAAGAGCATGCTAACACACGGCTAATTAGCACCAACAAGACTACCAAGAAGCAGGAGGCCTGTGTACTGGGTAATAAATCTGAAAGTGGGAGTCCTCCCTGGAACGCTCTTGGTGCAAAGCCTAAGAGTAAATAATTTCCTGGGGAAATGGGAGGACGAGTAACAGGCAGAACCCAGTGCCCTGAGATTTGTGATGCGACTGCTGGCCTGCATTATCATCCAGGCAGAGCGCCTCTTCAACCCCTGTTCTTAGTAGGACACAGCCGTGGACAGCTGTGAAAGAGTTAGCAACAAACCTCCCCAACAACCGGGTGTGCAACAGCAGAACAGATTTTCACTACTATTGCAGGACCCTGGATCTCCCTCTGATGACCTGGATAACATCCCATCCTCACACAGAAGGGTAAGGACTGAGAGTAAAAGGCTGCAGGGAAAGCTAACGACTGGGCCTCAAACTCTGATTGTGGGTGACTCTGCTGTAAATGATGTAAGAAGCATGTGCAGTAAGAACACCAAAATACTCTGCTTCCCGAAGGATACGGTGTCTGACTTGGCAGGTTGGTGACATTGTTGAACCAGGGAATCCGTGTGTCCACCACGACAAATGAGCCTCATTGACTTTGTATGGGTCTTGTTTTCGTGGTGCCGACACGTAATTTTAACACATTATGTGCCACCACCACGTAAATCCGGGGTAAGGGGTCGTGTTCATTTCACGTATTTCTGTGGGAGCAGGTTGGCAGAAAGAATCCTGCATATCGTGGCTGAACATCCTACTGTGAAAAACATCATACTGCACATCGGGGCCAATGATGTTGTGAAGCAACAGTCTGAAGTGTTGAAAGAGGATTTCAATAATCTGTTGAACACAGCCAGCTCTTTGAATGCTGATTTGTGTTTATCAGTGGCCCTATACCGCCAATCCGAAGATTGATGGCATTGAACACGTGGCTCTCAACGGCATGTACTGTCCATTCAGTGCATTTCATCTAAAACGTTTACTTTCTGTGGGACTGCAGACATCTTTTTAAGGCAGATGGACTTCGCCTTAACAAGTCAGGAGTAAAATTGTTCAGCTCCAACCTGTTTTACTTTCTGCGTCATTCATCTGTTCCCTCTACCAAGGACAAGAGGAATCAAAACAAGAAGAAGACATAACACAACACGCCAGAAACCTTGAAGGAGAGCCACCTCAGCCCCCGCCGGAAGAGAGCTTTGATCACGGGAGACATCTGAGCCAAGATCACTGATCACCATCTAGGTCACCCTTATCTCCAGACACCCTTTCTCCCCTCTCCCCCCTGCTGGACTTCACTGATAACATGGAAGACCTGGTTAGAGCTGGGACAAAATTTACTCCCCACACCTTCCCTCGCTCCACTCCCATTCTCTCTACCCTAAACCCCCCTCACCGTCCACCTCCACCACTGGTCCTTCAGGTTTGACATGTGTCACAAATACAGCGCACAACCCGTCTTCCTGCTCCGCAATGGCCAAAAAGCCCGGTAAACTCTGTCTGATTAATTTTACATATGTTTAGCTCATTATTTGAAACTTTTACTATGAATATCAGATATTGTAGCATATGTAAGTATGTGGCTGAGATGAGTCTAATGTCTTGGTTACCCAAAAAAGAGATTGAAGTGGGTAAAAGTAACACAACCATTTATGCCCCCCCCCCCCCAAAATCAGCACAACTTCACATGAGAGTACAGTCTGCTAAAATCACTCTATTACAATACCAGGGTGTCGGATGCCATTTAAAAGAGTGAGTCCATGTAGTTTGTTTGTGCACATGTGTTAGTCACTGCATACCAGGCAGCCATATCGAATAAGCCTCTGCAAATAACCGCTGTTCTCGCCTTCACCCAGTGCGGCACCTTGACAGCCATCAACAGTGTCTTCGCAGTCTACTTCCTGCAGCAGTCACACACTTCCCGGTCTGGCTTTCTCGCCTGTTCCTTTCTCTCCCACGCCTGTCCGTCGGCTTTTGAAGCGTTGCTGCCTCACTTCAGCGTCTACGATTGGTCCTGTGGAATCCTCTCTGCCCGCTCTCCACCACTGTATCAATCTCCAATCTCCATTGATTGTTGTGAATTTGTAACTGGGGGAGCACTACGGCAACTACTCAAAAACAAAACAGTCCAAAGCAACGCTAAACTTCAATAAACATGCAACAAAATAACAAAATAACAAGCCTACTTACAGCATTGCAGCTGAAAGAACAAGGCTAAAATTATTCAAATATGCCATAAGAATACATCTAAGCAATACATTAATTTAATGGAATACACAAACATAATTATGGTAAGATCTACTCGTGCCCTAATGATGGGGCAGCGATATTATAAGCACATTAACTTGCACACACAGTCCAATTTCTCGCCACCTGTCCTTCCTGCATTTGGCAGCTGCAGCTGTTTTGCTTTTAACCTGGATTATGTGTTTAACTTCTTATTTGACTCTCCTGCCATAACTTCTGAAGTGACAATTTGTGTGAGAGTGAGTGTGTTTTATTACTTTTCCTTTTGGGTGCTTGGTGTATTTTGGTTTTCTCTCTCTATTAATTAATTAGTTTCTCAAAATATTGCTCTCTTTTGCTTCTATATTTTAAACATTTCAGGAGAAAATTACCCACTCCCCACCTCTCTCTCTCTTCCTATTACACTTCAATCTGCTATACTGGCATGAATGTTTAAGTAAACAATGTTGCCAAAGCAAAGTAGAAAGTGACATATAATAAAAATGTGTCAAAAAAAGCAGTAGCATTTTCCAAGGAACCATTATTAAAATAACCATATATAATATCCAAATGTGATAATATTACAATGTTTATACAGACAACAATAATTATTTATTTTGTATATTTTATATATTTTCCACTGGT